CCCCAAAACCCCAAAACCCCAAAACCCCGTGAGTAAAGAGTAAAAAAATAATAACAAACAAAAATAAATTTAAATATAAAACATGGGAAATTCATGCACTTGCATCAGTGAAGATTTAAAGGACAAATAGGAATTTAGAAATGAGACAATGACTTCCAGAAGAAATAAGGAAGATTCCATAGTTAAAATACAGAAAAATTTCAGAGGATACAAGGCTAGGAAAGTATATACTCAGATGAAAATTGACATTAGATCTGGAAACACCATTGAAAATAAGCCTGAGTTTCTGAATGAAAGTGATGTAGTATTAAACCCAATGATAAAGGTAATGTATTACCTGACCTTGAATAATTCTAAATGCTTTATGTAGGCTATAAGTGATAAACTGGGACCATTTTAATTTCAGGACATGGGCCAATGGAGAAATATACCTAGGTAGAAAAGACCACCATACAAATTAGGCAACGGTGCTATTTATATCGGAGAATGGTAGGTATTTTTTGTTCGGATTTTTATGTTATAATTACACCTAATTTTTGCTAATAGGAATACTTAGACTAACAAGAGAGAAGGTAGAGGGAAATAAATCTGGCCTGATGGCTCCTTATATGAAGGAGAGTGGAGAATTGATAAAGCTAATGGCAAGGGTAGACTAATTCACTCTGATGGTGACGTATATGAGGGTGAATGGGTCAGTGACAAAGCAGAAGGATTCGGAATTTATACTCATATGGATGGAGCTTAATATTAGGGATAATGGAGAGAAGACAAATAGCATGGTAAAGGCAAAGAATCCTGGCCAGATGGAGCGATGTATGAAGGTGACTACATCATGGGTAAAAAACATGGAGTTGGTGAGTTCCTTTGGTCAGATGGCTCAATATACATAGGTCAATTCCAAAATAATAACATCGAGGGACAAGGAGAGTATAAGTGGGCTGATGGAAGAATATTTAACGGTCAGTGGATGTTTAATAAAATGCATGGCAAGGGTATATTTACCTGGCCAGATAATAGAAGATATGAGGGAGAGTACATTGAAGATAAAAAGCAAGGCTTCGGGGTATTCTACTGGCCAGATGGTAGGAAATACATGGGACAGTGGGCGAACGGCAAATAACATGGAAAGGGCACATTTGTTGCAGTTAACGGTTTAAGCAGAGATGGAGAATGGCTTAGTGGAAAGCGATCAAAATGGTTGGATGAATGAAGTCTTAACTAATACAGAGTTTATTTTCTATTATCCAATAAGGTGCCTAAAAGCAATCAAATTGTTTGGAGATATATCTTTGCTCTCTAGCTGTAAATATAAATTTTAACAGAGAAACTTTATAATGCTTCTTCATTCGTAAAATGTTATACTCATGGGGTTTTGGGGTTTTGGGGTTTTGGGG